GTCACAACCTTTCTTACATGCAAAATGCCGTGTGAGCAATTTTTGAACAGTTCTATTTTGAAATTTTACGAGGGGGCTGGGAAACTGGAAAAGAGCCGGCCGGTTTTTAAAAGGAAGAAAGTTTTAATTGAAGTAAAATCGAGGTTAGAATTCATCTGATTTCCCGCATATGCTAAGAGTTCGTCTATAGACAATCCTGTTACAAGTTTGTTCATTTGTTAATTAGCTTGAAATTAGATCAAAAATGAAAAATTTCAAACCGGTTTTTCTCGACACTGTCAAAAAAATTTTTTTAGGAAATTTTAGAACTTTAATTAAATCACAACTGAAAGGGCTTGAACATGATACATCACTCAACCGTGTCCTATGATTATTTGTGGTAGCTGATTTTGCGTGGAAAACAAAAAGTAGAAAAAAAACTAAAACACACCCAACTAATAAGTTCCTCCCCATTTTCAATGGTCGAAACAATTAGCCAAAATTGACTAAACGGGAGCGGGCTCTTTTTATTAACGTAGTTTTGTACAAACAATTTACTAATTGATTAAGGTTCTTAGATTTAAAAAGTCGAATAAACCATTTCATAAACTGTGATAGTCTTATCTGTATACACAGATTTTTTTCGAACATTGGGTAAATCTTTTAACAAAGAGTGGAAGCTTTTTTCAAGAAAATTTTATAAATTGCATGAATCATCTCACAAAATGTGAAAGCTCCTTTTATAGATGAAAATTAGGTGCCTAAAGTTTTTTGAAAATTGGGCGCCAAAATTTTTTTTAAAATTGGGCGCCAAAATTTGAAAATCCCGGAAATCTGTAATCTATTTTTAAAACATAGTGTCCGCAAATCCCCCCGGCCCCTCCCTGACGATTTGAAACCGACATATATTACACAGTTTGGCTCTTTTTCCTTTTCCCCCCACCTGCAACTTTTTAAGAGTAATTTTTCTGTTCACATTGTCAAGTTGTTACCAAATTTGGCATACGGACTATTTAGGCCCTGATAAACATATTTAGTCTTCATACTCAACCTTGTAAAACGACTCGTTACATCATGAAATCTATACTTGTGTGAGGTGGGGGGAAAAAGGAAAAAGAGCCCACAGTTTTTGAGTTTTAGATACGTTTGAAGGCCAGCAGTCAGTTAATAGTGGCACTCATGAAGGCGGGCTCTTTTTTGCTCGCCATTCCCCGCCCTAACGTATTTATTTCAACTTTTTTCATACTAATATCATCGGTTCTTTTTACTTTTCCCCCCACCTCACACGAGCTTCAATATATTAGTGTAACGAGTGGTTTTACGAGGTTGAGTATGAAGACCAAATATGTTTTTTGTGGCCTTATTAGTCTGTATGTCAATTTTCACGACAATCGGACAAAGTAAACAGAAACTTCAAATAAAAAAATTTGCAGGTGGGGGGGGGGGGGGGGTAAAGGAAAAAGAGCAGGAAATTTTTATGTGAAAAAGGGGCTCTTTTCCAGTTCCCCCCTTTCAAAATACCGAGTTTTATTCTTGTTTTACCTGTTATTACGGCTAAACGCGTGATGTTACGCTGTAAAGTATGAAGAATAAATCTGTTCAGAATTGTCAATTTGTTCACCATGCCAAATTTCATTGCATTATGACAATGTTAAATAGACTTTTCAAAATTGAATTTGAAAGGGGAGGGGGGGGGGAACTCGAAAAGAGCCGAAAAAGGTTAAGCAAGTGTTTTTATGATAGTGATTGTATAGCTCTTTTTCCTCTCTCCTTCTCACCTCACATAAGCATCAAATGTCTTGTCCAACAGTTGGTTTTACTAGGTTAAGCATCATGAAAACAAATACTTAACCCGCATACCAAATTTTGTAACAATTGGAGAAGGTTAAGAAAAAAGATTATTTATAAAAGTTCACACGTGGGGGGAGGGGGGGGGGGGGGTTTACGAGGAAAGAGAGCCGTGTTTGTGATCACCACAGAGCACTCCAATCTCTCATTTTTTTAATTTTCCTAATCTGATAGATTTTTTGGACCGATTGTTCGCGTTATAAACTGCATCAAAACGTGTCAGCGTGAACAAGTGATTAAAACTTTACCACATTTCTTACATGCAAAATTGTGTGATCAATTTTCGATCAGCTATGTTTTGTAATTTTAGGGGGGGGGATAGTTTTAGGGGGTTGGGAGGGGTATTTTGTAACTTTACGAGGGAGGTGGGATAGTTTTAGGGGGTGGGAAGGGTATTGTGTAATTTAATTTTACGAGGGGGGTGGGATAATTTTAGGGGGTGGGAAGGATATTTTGTAATTTAATTTTACGAGGGGGGTGGGATAATTTTAGGGGGTGGGAAGGATATTTTGTAATTTAATTTTAAGAGGGGGGTAATATAATTTTAGGGGTAGGGAAGGATATTTTGTAATTTAATTTTACGAGGGGGGTGGGATAATTTTCGGGGTAGGGAAGGGTATTGTGTAATTTAATTTTACGAGGGGGGTGGGATAATTTTAGGGGGTGGGAAGGATATTTTGTAATTTAATTTTAAGAGGGGGGTAATATAATTTTAGGGGTAGGGAAGGATATTTTGTAATTTAATTTTACGAGGGGGGTGGGATAATTGGCTCTTTTCCAGTTCCCCCCCCTTTCAAAACACCGAGTTTTATATTTGTTTTACGTATTATTACGGCTAAATGCGTGATTTTACGCTGTAAAGTATGAAGAACAAATCTGTTCAGAATTGTCGATTTGTTCACCACGCCAAATTTCATTGCATTATGACAACGTTAAATAGGCTTTTCAAAATCGAATTGGAAAGGGGGGGGGGACTGGAAAAGAGCCGGATAATTTTAGGGGGTGGGAAGGATATTTGGAATTTAATTTTACGAGGGGGGTGGGATAATTTTAGGGGTAGGGAAGGGTATTGTGTAATTTAATTTTACGAGGGGGGTGGGATAATTTTAGGGGGTGGGAAGGATATTTGGAATTTAATTTTACGAGGGGGGTGGGTTAATTTTAGGGTTAGGGAAGGATATTTTGTAATTTAATTTTACGAGGGGGATGGGATAATTTTAGGGGGGTGGGGGGTGTTCTGTAATTTTATGGGAGACTGGAAAAGAGCCCTTCTGCTTCTTTTTGCTTACTCCTCAGTTGTGTGTAGATTGTGTATAGATAGATAGATGCAGAGGATAACACCCAATTTATGCTTTTGTTTTGTGCAACTCTTGCAGTTGCTGATTCATCATCAATTGCTGTTCACGAAGAGCGTGGCTGGTAGCGATGATTATCCCTGTTCAGCAACCCCAATCAGCATTTATCCATCGGATCAATGTCCTTGTGGTCAAGCTTCAGCTGTTATCATCGGCCCGCGAACCTGGCACGGAACTCCTTACTCAGTGTGTCTTGTGTACAAGGCTACTTACAGAGCCGATGGATGCACTAGATTTGCGTACGGACAAAGGTATGTCTTTTTTCTGCCCCCCCCCCCCCACACACACACACACACACCACCTCGTATGAGCATAAATTTTATGATAGTGGTTTTACAAGGTTAAGTATGAAGAGCAAATATATTTGTCAGGGCTTAAGTTGTGAGCAGCTCCCTTTCATAGCAATCGGAAAATGCAAACAAACTTAAGTTAAAAAAATCGCAAGTGCGGAAAGAGAAAAGGAACCCATTGTTCCGATTCAACCCCCTCCCCCTGTAAGAAAACTCGTAGAGGAGTCAAGCGTGATATTATATCAGAACCCTTGCAGTCGTAGTTCGGAATCGAAGCGAATTTTCAAAAAAAAGTTGTCTCCGTATCGAGAAAAATTGGTCAGATCTCATTTTATTTTTCAGACAATTTTTTCAGATTGGCAATTCTAGATTGGTACTAATTTGGATGCAATTGATTGATCTTGAAAACATCTGCCGTAGTCTTATCACAATTGTTCGTCCCACTCGATTGTTCCAGGAGCATATCTAAGATTTTCTGAAGTGGGGAGAGGGGTCGAATTTTCAAAAATCACCATAAAGACCCTATCTAGACAAAAATATCTGAGCCCAGGCCAAAAAAGTCATTTTAATTTCGTTTTTTTTTTCGGCGCGTGCTCCCCCCTCAAAATATATATGGTTACCAAAGGCGCCTTTAACCAACTTAGGGCCAGCCAGTCAAAAATCAATATCTCAAAATAGATCAAAGGAGGGACATTTTGGGTCAGCATGAAGGCGAATCCTGAGGGAGTTAGGATCGTCCGCCCCTGGATAGTTCGTTTATTACAAACTTTATATTATTTGTTGGATGTGTTCGTGATTATACAATTTTGTTGAAAATTTTGTGTATCTTTTTCTTGCATGTTTTACTGCGATATTTTCTTGTGGTTAATGAATAACTGAAAGCTTTGTTTTGTAATTGTTAGCTGCCAGCTAAAAAAAATGGCAGAGTAATTTTTGAAATCTGTTTTTATCTGAACTTGATTGTTTCTACTTAAAATGTCAAACCAAAGTCAAATAAGAACACATGGCCGAGTGGTCTAAGCTAAAGTCCAAACTAGTTCCAGCCTCCCCCCCCCCCCCCTAGTATAGCGAGCTCGTATGGACGTAAAACGTAAAACCAAGCTCGTGTTTCGATCTTGTCTGGCCTCGAAAAAACAGGTTTTTGGCTGCTAACTTTCGTGTTTACTGTCAACCATTGCTGCTAAACTAGCGTACAGAGATTTTATGCTTTCGTTGTTGATGTCAAAATAAATTTTTGTTCCGTAACATTTCTTTCGATTATTCTGCCTGTTATTTTCCGATTAAATATATTAGACAATTTAAATATTCGAGAAGCGTTCTATCTACTGGACTCGAAACGATAGAAAAAATGGTCCGCCGACGATAAATGTGACGGAAACCAGACGACAGTTGACCGACAAAAAGTTGACCAGAAACTGTCGATTTAGCCGAATATGTGAATTGAGCCAAAAATGTGGGTTTTATCGAAATAATGAAACCTTTTCCAGATGGGTTTCCACGAAAAATAAATCCATATTCAACTAATAAGATGGTAATAACTGAAACTGTCGAAAAGTCGATATTCAGAGACAAGTCGGCTACTTTTGAGCCGACGGAGGACAACAATAAAGGTGACTTCGGTCCATTCGCCGAGGCCTTCAAGCACAGGTTTCGAGTGAAGGCCTTCAAACAGGTTCAAGTGAGGCCTACATACAGGTTTTGAGTGAAAGCCTACAAACAGGTTCGAGTGAGGCCTACATACAGGTTTTGAGTGAAAGCCTACAAACAGGTTCGAGTGAGGCCTACAAACAAGTTTCGAGAGAAAGCATACAAACAGGTTCGAGTGAGGCCTACATACAGGTTTTGAGTGAAAGCCTACAAACAGGTTCGAGTGAGGCCTACATACAGGTTTTGAGTGAAAGCCTACAAACAGGTTCGAGTGAGGCCTACAAACAAGTTTCGAGAGAAAGCATACAAACAGGTTCGAGTGAGGCCTACATACAGGTTTTGAGTGAAAGCCTACAAACAGGTTCGAGTGAGGCCTACATACAGGTTTTGAGTGAAAGCCTACAAACAGGTTCGAGTGAGGCCTACAAACAAGTTTCGAGAGAAAGCATACAAACAGGTTCGAGTGAGGCCTACATACAGGTTTTGAGTGAAAGCCTACAAACAGGTTCGAGTGAGGCCTACATACAGGTTTTGAGTGAAAGCCTACAAACAGGTTCGAGTGAGGCCTAGATACAGGTTTTGAGTGAAAGCCTACAAACAGGTTCGAGTGAGGCCTACAAACAAGTTTCGAGAGAAAGCATACAAACAGGTTCGAGTGAGGCCTACATACAGGTTTTGAGTGAAAGCCTACAAACAGGTTCGAGTGAGGCCTACAAACAAGTTTCGAGAGAAAGCATACAAACAGGTTCGAGTGAGGCCTACATACAGGTTTTGAGTGAAAGCCTACAAACAGGTTCGAGTGAGGCCTACAAACAAGTTTCGAGAGAAAGCATACAAACAGGTTCGAGTGAGGCCTACATACAGGTTTTGAGTGAAAGCCTACAAACAGGTTCGAGTGAGGCCTACATACAGGTTTTGAGTGAAAGCCTACAAACAGGTTCGAGTGAGGCCTACAAACAAGTTTCGAGAGAAAGCATACAAACAGGTTCGAGTGAGGCCTACATACAGGTTTTGAGTGAAAGCCTACAAACAGGTTCGAGTGAGGCCTACATACAGGTTTTGAGTGAAAGCCTACAAACAGGTTCGAGTGAGGCCTACAAACCAGTTTCGAGAGAAAGCATACAAACAGGTTCGAGTGAGGCCTACATACAGGTTTTGAGTGAAAGCCTACAAACAGGTTCGAGTGAGGCCTACATACAGGTTTTGAGTGAAAGCCTACAAACAGGTTCGAGTGAGGCCTACATACAGGTTTTGAGTGAAAGCCTACAAACAGGTTCGAGTGAGGCCTACAAACAAGTTTCGAGAGAAAGCATACAAACAGGTTCGAGTGAGGCCTACATACAGGTTTTGAGTGAAAGCCTACAAACAGGTTCGAGTGAGGCCTACATACAGGTTTTGAGTGAAAGCCTACAAACAGGTTCGAGTGAGGCCTACAAACAAGTTTCGAGAGAAAGCATACAAACAGGTTCGAGTGAGGCCTACATACAGGTTTTGAGTGAAAGCCTACAAACAGGTTCGAGTGAGGCCTACATACAGGTTTTGAGTGAAAGCCTACAAACAGGTTCGAGTGAGGCCTACATACAGGTTTTGAGTGAAAGCCTACAAACAGGTTCGAGTGAGGCCTACAAACAAGTTTCGAGAGAAAGCATACAAACAGGTTCGAGTGAGGCCTACATACAGGTTTTGAGTGAAAGCCTACAAACAGGTTCGAGTGAGGCCTACATACAGGTTTTGAGTGAAAGCCTACAAACAGGTTCGAGTGAGGCCTACAAACAAGTTTCGAGAGAAAGCATACAACCAGGTTCGAGTGAGGCCTACATACAGGTTTTGAGTGAAAGCCTACAAACAGGTTCGAGTGAGGCCTACATACAGGTTTTGAGTGAAAGCCTACAAACAGGTTCGAGTGAGGCCTACAAACAAGTTTCGAGAGAAAGCATACAAACAGGTTCGAGTGAGGCCTACATACAGGTTTTGAGTGAAAGCCTACAAACAGGTTCGAGTGAGGCCTACATACAGGTTTTGAGTGAAAGCCTACAAACAGGTTCGAGTGAGGCCTACAAACAAGTTTCGAGAGAAAGCATACAAACAGGTTCGAGTGAGGCCTACAAACAAGTTTCGAGAAAAAGCATACAAACAGGTTCGAGTGAGGCCTACATACAGGTTTTGAGTGAAAGCCTACAAACAGGTTCGAGTGAGGCCTACAAACAAGTTTGGAGAGAAAGCATACAAACAGGTTCGAGTGAGGCCTACAAACAAGTTTCGAGAGAAAGCATACAAACAGGTTCGAGTGAGGCCTACAAACAAGTTTCGAGAGAAAGCATACAAACAGGTTCGAGTGAGGCCTACAAACAAGTTTCGAGAGAAAGCATACAAACAGGCTCGAGTGAGGCCTACATACATGTTCGAGTGAGGCCTACATACAAGTTTTGAGGGAAAGGCTGCAATTGGAATTCGTGCAAAAAAACATGAGGCCTATATCCTGATAGGAATTGCACCACAGAAGGCAATTGAGCAGAATCAAGAAGATGTGGTTCAGTGGCGATCAAGAGAAGGTGGATCAAGTGTTGAACAAGAGTGTTGGAGCTGACAACTGCCTCCAAGTAAGAATTCTTCCACCTTAAGCAAATCAACCCGTTACGCCTCAACACACTCTAAGGCTGGTTCAATGACCTCAAGTCAACGCAGACGGAAACTAGAAGTAGCAAAATTGCGTCTAGGGGATTTTGAAAGACAGAACAAACGAGGCTGCTATTTACCTTAAGCAAAAAGCAAACGAGTTGGAACTAGAAAAATTTGACGAAGACAACCAGAGGAAATTGATTGAGGCAAAAATTGTCGAAACTGAGCTTAGATACGATGAATCAGAGATTGATCTGGAGAACAACAAAACTGTTCTGCCATCAAGCAGCACTAACAAGGTTTCCCCTTAGGCTCGAACGAAAGACTGGTTCGATGTTGCCATCGAGAATCAGTCATCTCAAGCGACGACTGCTATAAAAGGTTTAAAACTATCCAACAATGTCAATTTGGGTAATTCATCTACCTTACCGGTCACAACTTATCCGGAAAGCACTTCGTTTTTTGTTGCAACTTTTTTCAACAAAACAGTTGCTCTCACGCCAGCACCAGCTGAACCCTTCACCGCCCACTGTTTTGAAAACCCGCTTCCATTACTACTAACGCCAGCACCCCGACTTGCTCCAACAACTGTTAATTCTTCAAATACAGGAAAATCATTGAAAGCTTCAGCTGGGACAGCTCAAGTAAACGCACCTGTATAAATGTCATCTCAGCCGTTGAACGTAACTTTGAGTATCCCTGCGCATTCAAGTCTCGCTCAACCAACATGCTTCGCATAGGTACAATTATCCGATTTTTTGTCACTACCTTGCGAATATGACTAAATGGAGGCTTGCTCCTTCATTATCTGCGCTTGGTTGTGTTGCTAATACTTTTGCAACACAGTTGGGACCTTTTGCAGCCTTCACAACAATGATGCAGACATCCACTTCTAATAACTCGTACAACTCTGGTGGAGCTGTTAACTACAACCTACATCTGCAAGGCCAACCAGTACAACCTTTGCCACAAGCATTTCCTTGTGCGTATAGCGCGCCGGCTTTTGTACCAGCAAAAGAACCGCCGCCGCATCCCTTTGCTTTTTCCTCGTGTCAATCATCGTCTGATCCGACAACCGTACAAGATTTAAAAATTGTCCTCATCGTTACTCAAAAGGATCTATTGCCGCAATGGAAACTTGCCCAATACAACGGTGACCCGCTCAAGTGGTACGAATGGATTGGGCAGTTCAGAAGTGCTGTGAACTCACAAAACTTGTCTGATGATGTTAACTTAACAAACTTGAAAACTTTAGTCACCGGTAAAGCAAAAACTGCCTTAGCGCAACTTTCATATAGCGATGCAAGGTAGAAGGATGCTCTAATGAAACTTGAGCAAAAATTTGGTCAACCACAACTATTCGTCCTGCATATCTGGATAAACGTAACAATACACCGCACTTTAGGATGTAAAACTGAGATAGCATCATAATTTTTGCATCCATGATATCAATTATCGTTGGTGTGTTCCAATCTTTGTCGTACCTCGAAAGTGCAAGACATCTTGATAAAGCCTTCGAAAAGTTTTCGCCTAAATTGAAAAAGTTTTGATTGTTCCACACCGTTAAGTGCAGTCTGCACGCTCCGTCTTTAGTAGACTTCAACGATTGGCTTGGAGACAAAGCCAAAACGCATGAGCGCATGCGTTCCTCTCAAAACCCGGACGGCAACTCTTCATAACAAGGACCGCCATTATTTTTTTTCCGCGAGTCGGCAAACAAAAACTGAGACAAATCCTCATTAAAGTCCCTGTTTGGAATGTAAAGGCAAGCATCACTTTGGGAATGAGGCGTATCAAAGAAAAAACCCCAACTCAACGCGCAAAATTCTGCGCTAAGAGCAAGCTTTGTTTTTCTTGCCTTCAAGGAAATCCTATGTTTAAGAAGTGCCCTAAGCCCGAAAACTTGTCCTAACCCGAATGCAAGAGCATACGCAATGTATTTTTGCATGGGGCTGAACGCATCTTTCCAGCCCATACTCCAGAAAAAAACTCATGTGACAGTTCACTTAAGCTGACAGGTGACAAAAATGACCTAGTACTGCAGATGTAGAATTGATATTAGGTCAAGATGTCTATGCGTAATTCCGTCCCCTTGAGCACTGCCAGGATAAAGGTAAAAAAACTCCTTTTGCCATTCGCCTTCTTGTTGGATGGGTCTTAAGTGGTCCTCTGCTTTCCTCTAGTGGTCTTATCTCGACATGCTTAAAATGCAATATCGAGGATGAAGGTTTAATAGAGCAGGTCAAATCCTGGTATGAACTTGTACCATACGGTGTCTGAAAACAAGTAGACGCAAGGTCCTCAGCTGATAAGAGGGTTAATCAAATCCTTGAGTCAACTACCATACACAATGGTCATAGACACTCCGTCGGCATGCTCTGGGCTGAAAACAACTCAAGAGTTACCAAACAATTTTTTTCCGGGTTGGCTCAATTGAAACATTTAGACAAAGACAAAACACTCAAAAAATAATACACAAAAACAGTTCGTGATGAATATGACAAAAGGGTAAAAAATCAAAGTTATTGCCCAAGACCCCAAAAACCGTTCCGCGAGGAAATGGTATCTTCCTCAACACCCGGTGATTAACCTCAACAATTCGGTAAAAGTTCGGCGAGTCCTGAATGGTCATGACGTCTGGTTGGTCCCGACTTGCTTCAGAACCTTCTAGCCGTTCTAATAAGGTTCAGTCAGCATAAGTATGCTGTATCTGCTGATATAGTAGGAAGGTTTCTTTAGGTTGGTGTGCTTGAAGTTGATCAACCATCACTGTAAGTCCTGTGGCGGGATGCTACCACAATTGATGTGGTAACGTACCAATAAACCCGACATATCTTCGGAGCTCGGGACTCTCCCACATGTCCTAATTCGTACTTCACAAACCACTCGTGACAACCAAGCCCTTTTTCCAGAAGCAGCTAAAACTATATGAGCGTTGAAGTAGCGTTGAAATTATATAATTACCTTATAAATTTATTAAAGGTCAAAGAAACTTCAGGCAGTGAAGTTGAAGCATCTCATGTACCAGCTATAAAATGGGACGACATACATAGACACATTAGTTGTCCGCCGAGGTGTGAACAGAGAATTGAAAAACAATGTTACATAGCAAATGGCTCTAAGCTTTAACTCCTCATTCTTCAACCCGATTGGGTTGGTCGCTCCATGCCCTCTAAGAGCACGTCTCCACTTGAAGGAAAATTGGAGAATCAGTGGTCAACAATGGAATCACCCTCTTGCGTGACCTTGACAAAAAAACTCCATGGTTGGCGCACTTTGGAAAATCGAGAGACCAAACTCTATTTCAGTCTAGGTAAGGCGCGAGTGCTCCATTGAAGGCTATTTGTATCCCAAAACTGAAATTGCTAGCTGCCCTATTGGCCACACGCTTCAAAGAGGATATTATTAAAGTACTTACCATCCCGATAAACGATGTCTTCATGTGGACAGACAGCACCACCGTGCTCCCGCGGCTCCATTTGTCATCGAAGCAACCAGTTTTTGCTTCAAACCGAATAGGCGAATGTTTTGAAGTCACCCCTATAAACGAGTGGTATCATGTTGACACCGGTAACAATCCCGCAGACACAACTATCCGACGTATAGCCGACGAAGCTTTAAAAGACAGCAGCTGGACCCAAGGTCCAAGCCTTCTAAAAACTCGTGGCTGGCCTTTTGTCCGAATGCTGAGGTAGACACCAAAATAGGACTCAAAGGTCCCGCTGTCAATGCTATTGATTCCACAACAATTTTTGTCGCAAACCCGCCACCAAATGAAACCGTCATCACTTAGCCTCAATGCAGGTCTTTTGTTAGACTGTTACGTTCCGTAGAATCCGTCCTCAGATTAAATCTTAAGTTCCGTCATTACAGTGAAGCAACACTTAGAAATGGAAAACTTTCTGAGCTCGAAAATGCAAAAACGAAAAAGTAGCTTGTCTCAGAAAAGGGAGCATTCGCGACAGAATTAAAATTACTAAATTATGAGAATTCTATTGCAAAAAATTCCTCCTTTATTGGTACTGGTGGTCTTCTCCGGTCCACGGGCCGCATAAGCCGTCTTTCTGAAATCACGTTCAGAACAAAACATTCCATCATGATTGATTGTCGTCACCCATTAGTGAACTTATTTATAAATCATCTGCACGCAAACATGAGCATTAATCTAAGGACTAAGGACTATCTACGTTTCGTCATCCAGTTAGATTATGCCATCTTAAATTAAGATCCCGACTTCGCACCATTGAACTTAAAACTTAATTGCATGATTTGTCGTGAGCGGAAGGTGAAAGCTGTCTCAATGTTAATGTCTGACTTCCCCGTCGAGCCAGGAGTCCTTCAGTAACTGCAGCGTAGACTACTTCGGACCCTTTTATGTAACGTCTCGCAGAAGTTTCGAGAAACGTCGAGCATTTTTGCTTACTTGTTTGACCACCAGAACCATCCACTTAGTAGTTTTTCCGTCAAGGGACGTTAGCTCTTGCGTAATGGGAGTAGAAAAGATCATCGCTAGGCGTGGAACCCCATCATTTATTTGGTCTGACAAGGGAACGAACTTTGTCGGCGCAGAGAAAGAGCTTCTTCAGTGAGCTCGAGCGTGAAATGACCTTGCACCCGCCATTCTTGAACTTAAAGGTATAACATGGAAGTACAACCCTCCATCAGCGCCAGACCATGGTGGAACGACTTGTACGCAGTTGCAGGAGAGTGTTCTACTCGATACTCACACCTCGCAAGTGAACTGGAGAAGTACTTTGGACAATTTTCTGCCTCGTTGAACAGACCTTAAAAGCACGTCCTCTTACACCTATTAGCTGTGACCCCCAAATGAACTTGAGACACTTACGACTAACCATTTCCTAGTGGGACATAATTCCGTGAGTTTTCCCTCAGTAGAAACAAACGATCAATTCGACCACCGCAGGCGCTGCCTCCGCGCACTAGCATATGGCAAAACACCAATGGTTACGAGAGTACGAACCTTCTCTCAAAAAACGCCATAAGTGGTGCAATCCGCCGAACATGACCTCAAGTCCGGAGATCTTGTTTGGGGTGTAGAAGAAAGAAGCTTGTATCTTAAGTCTGAATTTTGGCGAAGAAGCGATCACCCGCTCCGCGTTACTGGAAACCACTACAGGAGAATTAAATTGTCCTCTTGTAAGACTCGCTCTGGTACTTGCTCCTTTGGGTCCCAAGAATGTTTCCACTTGAAATGCTTGAAATATTTTCCGCTTGAAATATGTAAACTGGAACTATAAAGGCAGTAAAGTAAAACCAAAGCCAAATTAGAACACATGGC